GTTCCATTGCTCGATTTTAAATTAGCCTAGGCTAACTTGAAATTTTAATACAGCCTAGTCAGATTTTAAATTAGCCTAGGCTAACTTAAAATCGAGCTATGCAGACATCTGAATTTTAATATAGCCTAGGCTGATTTAAAATCTGCCTGAAGTTTAATATAGCCTGTAACATATGCACAAGGCTTAACGGTATTTACCAGTTGGCAATAAATTACAGTGATCCACGCCCGACGAACCGAATCTATAATCGTAGAAGATACGACTGAAGAAATACCGAGAAAGTTGGGATTGGGCGGAGAAAGCCGACTATTGGCAGGTAATATAGCGCTGGTCCACGACATTGTTCACCCACCATTTGCACATTGGGGCGAACTAGCAATAAAAAAATCTTTGGAACCTCATGGATTAATCAAATCGAACGATTTTTGCAGGAAATATTCCTCGTAGTTATGGCTGCTAAAATCATCCTTTGAGTTATTGTTAATCTTGAAATATTAAAAAGTAGCGTTTCTTTTTTACTCATATTTTTCGCTTTGGCACATATGGTGGTAACAAATAGAATGAATTTTTTTCTATCATAAATTCATTTTTAAAACTTTTGATTTACTTCATTAAAAGCGCAAGCAAATGGACCACAACACTTGCTTTTGATTTTACTAACGAGCGACTCCACCAACTACTTAAGAGCTTTAAGGCCATATTTACGCCATAAGTAGGACTTAGTGAGACTAGAGAAACCCTAAACGGATTTCGTTTCATGTGCCTATTTCGCTAGATAGGAACGTTCCAAGTTTAGGACCGAAAATGTAGACAGATTGCTTGTTGTACCTGAATTTACAACATTAATATATATCAAGACAAAAATTTATTGTTTTAATAGACAATGGAAGGCTATCGCTAGAAAAGCCTATGATCGAGTGCGATTAGATGAACTCGATATTAATATGAGCAAACGAAACAATATTATACGTCTGCAGTTGCTGATTCAAAATCAAATGAGTAACTCTATATTTGTTCCTATGATAAAATACGCGCGGTACGCTAGCGGTTAATCCAAACAAAACCTTGGTCCATTTCAAAAAGTCACGGAAATTTGTTTTTCTTTTGATCGCGATAATTGAAGCGAGCAATCATTTGATCGATCGTCTTTCGTCACGTGTAGTTGGTGTCGAAAAGACTTATGTTTCGATCACTTTTTCGCCAGTTATCACATTCACTAAACTCTCACATATAAAAAAGCTAACAATTCGTGTTTCAGTTGTTCTAATGATCACATTGCATGTTTCTATTGCATCTATTACACCAGCGAACAAAATGATTTCAGCCATCTCTACACGACTCTCGGGATGATTTATGTAAAAACGCGTAAAATACTTCAATCTATAAGTATTCTGGAAAATAAAATTTTCTTTTAATGCATGTTAGTATTGTAATTCACGCACAACAAACAGATTATCTACATTTTCGGTCCTGTTCATACGTTCGCCAAGATATGAACGTTCTGATATTTTTTCGTGATCCGATCCAATCCGTGACGGTCTCTGGTGGTGTTACACCTGCACCCAAACAGAAACACTCCGTTTGATTAGAAAAGAAAACGCGCGAAAGTCTTGATGCTCGTATCTGGACCGTCTTCGCACTGCCACTACGCGAACATTCTGCCGTCCGTCGTTATTTTGGCCTGTATGATCCAGCCACTGCTCACGCGTGTGTTCCCGAGCGGTCTTTCTTTCTATTTATTTTCATAGGCATACGACAACCAAGAACATCATTGAGGTTCATACGAAAACAAATCACTTTTTCTGACGTACGTAAGAAACAACTTCTTATCCTTGAAATTCCCTCTAAGTAAGGAACACCTTAAATAATTAACACTTAAGCGATTCTTTACATATAATTATATACATACATTCTACTGCAATTTTAAGCTCCTTTATATTCATTCACTTCCTTGAACTATAGTTGCTGTTAAAAATAACTCTGCATACCAGATATTTTCTTCCAATAAGTTTCATGCTATAGGTTTTTATGTTTTAGACAAGTCCTCGTCTTACTCACTCTCACTACGCTCAGTCGCACTCCTCAAAGGTTGGTTCACAGTCCTAAATAGTACGCAATGTATAACGGAGCAGAAACGAGATCTTTGATATAAACCTCCATAAGGCGATGAACAAAATTGCAAACAAGAGAACTTCTGATTCAAGAAAAAGTGTAATAAAGATAATGCCAAGTGAATACGTAATACAGTTATTTTTAAAATTAATGAAAAAAGTGTTTTGTGCGTCTGATTTAGTCGATATTCTCGACCATCGTTAACATGTATCGCGTCCAGTTTAATTAATAATTTCATTTCACTAATCAGATTGACGGTAGGCTTCTTCGCTTTATTTTCGCTCAGCTCTTGTTTTGATTTATATATATACTTCTGTCACTTTGTGCCTGTCGGCGGTTGATGATCCGATGTTGTGCCATCCCTCCGTTGATTCGACGATTGTAACGATGCTATGATAATATTTTCTGCTTCTATAAATTAGAAACATCAAAATCAAAAGCGGATAGAAGGATTTTACTATTTATGCACACTTACCTATGTCACTTACACTTGCATCAAACAGTGTTTGTGTGTTGTGTCCTAAGCAGAGAAATACTAAACTACATCTCCATCTTATATCTAACGAAACAAATACGTTAGCGGAGTGAAATTTATATACTTACGATATCCTGCAATTGGAATCGTGCTACGATTGTTGTCCATGACTAAAATATCAACGAAAATAATTTTCAAGAGCTTTCCTTCTTAGTAACGGAATGGAGTGGACATTATTTTTCTTTTTTGCTGGTAGAAAATGGTGGAGAATAGCAACTGAAAGACTCCAGATATAGAATTTTTCATTACACAACTTTGCATATTTGCATTCACATGATATTTCGTTTCTTGAAAAATAAACGTCTACTTTATTTTGTACTTGATTTTATTGACTATTTAATAATGTTCCTATTTCTTCGATTGTCAGCCGATGATCTATGAAACTAATGTTGGCATCAGCGTCCGTATAATAATGTGCTCGTACATTATTGTTCACTATGCTAGACAATTTAGTATGCCAACATATTAAGAAATAGTGTAGTATTGTGTGCATGGTTGAAAATTTAAAGTCTTGCAAACTACATCATGGTGTTGTGTGAGAGAAGGATACTATCAACGTCAAAGTGTCAAAAGACGATGGAGAAGGGCAGAGAAAGTGTATGCCTGAGTGAGAAATATCGGGAACCATCCCATGTAAATATTTTTCGATCCTAGACGCGTCTGAAAACGCGTTTTATGCTGCGTTTAATCGCTCCGAAAATGCACCATTTGCTAGCGTTTAAACGCGTTTTGCCAGGGAAAGATGTGTCTGAGTGCATCGAAAATGCACCATTTGTTAGCGTTTAAACACGCTTTTCCCTTTTTTTTTAATTTTAATTCCTAGCTAAGGTTCCGTTGTCTATTAGCCAGCAGAGTGTACGTCGATATGAGAAAAGCTTGACTTACTAGAAAGAAGTGTGTTATACGACAGTGCCGTCGACGGAATTCGAACGTGACACCTATGAACAGAAAGACAAATTACAAAGCAAGCTACTTACTCACTCAGCTAACTGAGCTTGAGAACTGAAAACAAGCGACGAAGTGTCATCCTATGTATATACCCTGTAGGTCTTATATAAATAAGATTGTATGAAGATGACGTTACTTTTTGTAAGTTTTGCTTTGTACTTTGTCAATGTGTACTTTTACATGGGTAAAGAATAATAAAATACATATTCTATATAAAAATACTACTCTGAAATCGAACAGCGGAGAAGCAGATTATCAAAAAGCATAATACATTTTGCTCCATGTATTGTTACAGACGAGGCTTTTTATGAATAACAAACTGGCATCTGTTCAGAGCCGAAAAAAGTTGATAGTTAGGTAGTGCATCCCACAAAAACACTTTTTTAACGTAACCCGTTTGCTTTCAAATTTCGTTAAAATAATACAATGTACTGAAAAATGTTTGAAAAATTGAATTCCAATAGATATTACAATATTCATAAAATTAATTTGTTTATGTGTAATGTTTCTTTCTGTCTATAATTGCATATTATATATACAGAATATACAGAATATTACAGAATATAATTCTGTAATATATTGGTCTATTATTGCTCAATATATTGACTTGATATGAATAAAAACTTTGTAAATTTATGGAGTATATGTGTTACATATATAGGTGCTGTGGCTGCAAAACAGAAAAGTGAATAATCCGACCGTCGATATATCGAGCAATATATTGGGCAAGCTAGATATATTGTGTATGGTATTGGGTTATCTAGGTATACTGACTACTGTATTGGGATTACTTAGATAGGATTGCTCAATACTCGATACTTTTTATTCTTTATCATTAGTCTTGATCTTGTACTCTTTATATAATGTATTTCTGTATATTAAATGTTTCTTTAAAAACTCTAGGCAAATATTCTAATAGTCTGATGACGGTTATCGTATTAAATGATGATATCGATTCTTCAGTTGTCACTTAACGATGACCTATACAATTGAATTATAAATCAACTGCGCACGATTTTATTCTGTTGTTCTGCGCACTAATTTACCTTTTATTTCTTTAAATAAGTTTTCGTTCTCGATATTATTAATGTAATTGTTTTCGTGAAGCCACTTATAGGTAAATAATCAACTGAAAAAAATGGAACAGAAACATTGTTTATCAGAGAGAATCTGTTTTATAGATCATTGACACTATAAAGCTTATGCCCTTAGTAATAACTCGACAAGCGCTATACTTAGTTTACAATAAAGCGTACATTTTACAATAATAAACCATACAAGTGGAAGTCTATTCCGAACAGAAGTGGGCGAGTACACGGATTTCTGCGTACGAGTACGAGTAGAAGTATTCGCCCATCTCTGATTCCGAAACTACTCAAAATAAGCGGTGACGGATCTCTTCGTTACAATATCAATCTGCTCTGGCAATCACAGGAGCTGTGAGACTATCAGCAGTCAAAAACATTCTAGCAGATCCCAGTTGGATTTCAATTGATGAAATCTTTCGTATGCAATGATTAGATTCATTTTATAGAAAAACAGTGGCGCTAAATATCCACGTCTCTAGGATCTCTTATCCCTGTGGTTAAAACCACTCAGGCATACACCTTGCGGAGTCGAACACAACAAAAAATTCCGGTTTTGAGGAAACGTGACATTCTATATAGAAATTTGTTTATTTTAATTACTTTAAAATAATGGAGTGAACTCTGTATTGATATTCGTTCTATCGCTTCACATTAAAAATTTAAATATATCCCAATAGAATTTAAAATTAGAAAGGCATACAGTGGAGCGAGACATCCTATTCTTAAAACACTAGATAGGTATAACGAGATATATTTTGCACATTGTAGAATAGGATTATCGCAATTGCTCGCAGATTTGTTTAGTCATACATTAGTGCCCGCTCCAGCGTGTAAATGCGGACAAGTAGAATCAGTGAGACATTTCTTTTTATCTTATGATTTATATTGAATGCTCAAAATGCTGTCATTCGTCGCTGAATTCTATTTTGGGTTGTATCTGGCCTGCCCTCTTAATTTTCTTCTCTTTGATTTCTGACAAATATATTTAGGTTTTGAGAAAGTTAAAGGTGTCTATTACGCAAATTTATATTGAAAAATCTGTTCGTTTCGGAACATAAACGATATTTTTCTTCGTTATATAATTTTCTGTCTCCCGCATATGCTGCCACAGCAAATCTCACCTCCATCACGACTCCCTGACTTGTTGTTTGACTTTGTTTGTCATTTGTTCTCTTTTCATTCTTTCTTTTCATTTGTGATATAGATCTATGTTTTTTAGTTTGAGTTGCGTTTACTTCTTCTCCTCACCTGCGTTATCGTATCCTCTTTTATTCTCTGCAGTACCATGCCGTGACCACAGCCCGATTCGGTCACCGTTTTCTAATAAAAAAGTTTAAATAAATGTTGGGTTTCTCATGAAACGCTTTACAAATAATTTCATTGTGTCGATTTTTGCTGTGTTGCAACAACTTGATGCACTAAAAGTCGCTTAATATCTAGCTCTGACTCACAAACTGAGAGTGAATTTACTTTAGTATCGTAGAACCTGGAGCTAAACGAGTTTTCACATGCTGAATTACATGTGTGGATGGTTTTACTCTTTCGGATTTACATTTGTTTGTAATTTTCTCATTTCTGTTCGAATTAATTGTCTGCGCTACTGAATATTATCTGCTTTCTGTACTCTAATAAGAAATATACGCTGACTAAGGGACCATGTCAGAATAAATTCCGCTCGATCGGTCGTCATTGCTCTATTCCCGTATTCCGCTACTATTCTGCTCAGTCGTTATTTCTCTATTACATTAGCGCGGTAGTTCAATCCTTATTAAAGAAAATTTTATTTTAATGATTTCTTATGTTGGACATCATCTTTTTTCCGCTCGAACTCAAATACATCAAAGATGACACTTGAATGGTTCTTTTTTTTTTAACTTATTTTGTTTCGTCCGAATTTACTTTTCTTTCATATTGTATGCGCATAAAACATCTTTTCTTTCAAAACAATAAATGCGAAAAGAACAAGTTTTATATTTTATTGAATGTTCGATAATTACATACACAATGCAGGTAATACTCGTTGTAATTTCCTCTATATGCTGTCAACTAAATGAACTAAAACTATTCAAATATCTGTCGGTAGAAGCGCAAGACAACGTATCAAAACAAATCAGTTTGTAGACATTATCGACAAGTCCTAGTATTACCTGTAAGACGAAATATCTCAAAAACAATTTTGGATCATCAGGAAAGTTAAGGATAAAATAAATTAATTCAGATAACGCAGAGCACTCTTCTTCGTATATGTAATTATTGAACATTCGATAAAATATAAAACTTGTTCTTTTCGCATTTATTGTGTCGAAAGAATAGATGTTTATGCGCATACAATATGACCGTGTAGAGGTACAGTACCGTATTAGGGTACAGTACCGCTTTTTCATTCCTTTCATGATCAACTTCTAGAAGAAACCAATTACCGAAATACAGACATATATATATTCCACTGATCGCAGAATATATTTCAATTTCTATTGCAGATACAGTCTAAATTTTATGCCGATGATGAACAGGTTAGTAAACGAAACATTTAGCTGATTTTTATGAAACTACAAAGTGTACGAATAAAGTTATGTAGAATAATAATCCACGACAAAAAACTCAGCTAAATAATCCTTCTCATCAGGTACGCTGTTAGATGGTCTCGATTATTATAAAAATATAGGAAAGAGCAGCGAAGTTGATTTTTGCAGTTCATCACAAAAGATCAAGTTCGTGTGATCGATCCTAGTTTCGTGCAAGGATTAACTTTGTGTTTTGATAGTTTAAGTTTTAGAATGATATAATGAGAGTTTATATTCTCGTCGTTCTGGTTCAAGGTAAAAGTATACAGCTTATCCACGTAACGCGACACTTCGCTGATCAAGTATTTTTTTCAAAATTGAACAAAATCATTAGTGTCACGTTGTAGAGCGCATCCGATAGTGTCATGAAGTGTGCTTTTTACGGGCCTAAAGCAAAGTTGAAATTATAAAAACGTTGCACAAAATCAGTTTAATGCAAGTTTGCGGATCACGTTTTTTTTAGTGTGTTTTTTTAAACTTTTTTAACATTAAAAAATCGAGGTAGGAA